GCCTCCTTCTGATATAGATCTTTTAAATTTTGTGAAGCGCTTTGAGACATTCTGTGTAAAGCGCTATATAAGCGTCATATTATACGTGAAAAGGTACCACTAAGGAGATACGTTGTCGTAATTTCTTCGCACGATGGAAGACATCGGTCATTAGGGAGACATTTTCATGTCTCCCTAATGTCACAGCCCCCCTTTAGAGGCACAATTTTACTGTCGCAATTAGGTTATGTTTATTGCTCATGGTCTAATTAGTAAACATACCCAAATTCGTGGAAAAAGGACAAGGGAATATTGGGTTTGGGCACATTTAAGTTTGAAAAACAAGTCTATGGGGATGTCTCCCAAATGTCCAATCCAGGGTAATTATTATCATTATTATTATTATTATTATCTCAGTGATCTTTTTTTAATTGTGAGAGGGGGACGGGGAGTGGTGGACATCATGAAAGAATCTCAAAACAAAACAGCAAACAGCTGAGCACGGTTCTGCCTTGTCTGAAAAGAACCTCTGACTGCTTGAGAGATTGCTCAATGTGACTGCTCAACGTGCGGAAGACACTTCATATGCCTACGGATCCCCTACACAACGATAAACGACTTCCCCAAATTTCTGGTTAGAAGCGTGATATGGCACTTGTGCGTCATGCGTGCGCGAGACTGCGTCTTTCAGTGGTCAAGTTTCTGTCAGAACGCCAGCTGTTGGCGATCATGGCGCACGCGCATTGTTCTTCAAGTTCCACGCGTTGATCTATGCGGGGACGTGGCATATCACGCATGTTGACAAACCATTCCGTACATTTTGTACACAAGCTCAGATGAGTCATTTCTCCTTGTGTAGAGGATCCGTGATGTGCCCAAGTCAGCAACAGCATTCAAGTGCTCTGCATAGCTCACTGACACCGTTGAAGGTGTTGTCGTGCACGGAGTCTACTGGAGACGAGTACAAGCAGGAAAACTGCAATACTGTCATTCTGGTTCCATTCCTTCAACAGATCCTTCACTCAACATCACCGTTAATCAGAATGCCTCATAGACAAGCAACTTCACCCCAAAACAGACAGCGATTGCTCGCTGAAGGATGTTGAGATAATGCAACGAGAATATCCGGATCGCATATCCCATGGGTAACGGGAAGAACTGGGAAAAGGTTTAGGCCTGGAAAGCTATCCTAAAAGTAATCATATAACAGCTGGGTATTTGTGAATTTTTATGGTCTTATTTCTTTAAAACCCTAACCGCCCTGAATCCTCCAAAATCTTTTTTGCAAATTGGAGGAATTTGCAGGATTGAGGTTACATGGCAAAAGTGGGTTGCTGATTTCGGAGTACGCACTGTGTCATGGTCTTGGGCCGGACCTTGTGTTGTTTATGCTCAGCCTAGCATAAATTTAGTCCTTGATTATACTTGACATCCTCCGCACTGCTCCAGGATGTCACTGCCTCTGCCTCTGCCTCAGCCTATTGACAGTCATAGCCGGAGGATTTTGCAGAATTCAGGCAGTGGTCACCCCTCCATGGACCATATTCAAGAAATAGCGGAGGAATTTGCAGGATTGAGGCTATATGCTATTTTTCCATGAGGCCAATTGGAGGATTTTGCAGGATTGAGGCTACATCCTAGCAAAAAGGCCTAGGGAGTTAGGGTTAATTAATGACAATGAGCCAGGTATCCGTTGACACAAACTGTATTGCTGAAACTCCAATGAAATCATGAGCTTTATGAGAGAAAACAGGAAAGGAAGTTTTTTTGATGGACAAGCAGATAATTTGCAGATAATTTTAATTGTCAAATTATATAGACCACCAGCAGAGGTTTATTCTGAGGAATGCACAAAGTTACGAAAGGACTGACATCTCCCCTATCCCTCCCAGTTCCCCATCCCCACTCCCACCAATCCGCATGATGTACAATGTGGACTCCTAACCTAACCTGGGTCAATTTAGAGGGAAGGATCTTCATAACCACAGGATATGAGCTGGGTATTAAATTGAGGATTTACTCGACTAATACCTGGCTCTGGTTCAACTTACAAAAGGAACACTCAATGATACAAGATTGTACCACGGTTAGTAGTCAATTTTGCACACATTTGATTCATCCAGTTGGTTTTCATTTACATAACACATACAAGTTGTGTGAATTTAATGAAACTAACTACACAATTCTCTTGTCCAATACCAGTAGTGTTATACTTTTAGTGGGGTATTTCTCTGTGCTACCTAGCTAATAAAAAAATTTGCAAATTTGTCCTCCACAAGAATCCAGAGGTTCAACGCATCAATCCTTGTACTGTCCGTAACTACCCTGTCTATAGATCAATGGACTGATCCGGTAAGCCCCACCCACTTCGCACGTGGGCAATTAACATGTGCTCCTTTCCAATACCACACTGCGTGTTCCATCCATGCGCGTCATACATGTGGAGCTTTTGTGCACGCATGTCGGACATAAATCACAGCTGTGATTGGTCAGAACACCATGGGCCGGGACTTAAGGCCAAGTAAAAAAATATAAGTAGAAATAAGTGAATGCTGTATATTCCGTGAAAACAAAGTTCTAGGATCTCGATTTCAAATCAAAAGTTCCTGAATCATGTTTTGAATTGGGCCTTAATTCAGCATCTGAGACACGTTCTCACTGAGCCGATTGCAGCCACGCAATGTCATGCACTGATCTGACGAATTATAGCAACCGCGCGCATGCTTCGCCGAATAAAAACATGAACTACTAACGGAAATTTCCAATGATGCGTCTTTAGAACACCATGGGCCAGGACTGAAGGCCAGAACCGATTGCAGCCACGCACTGATCCGACGAATTATGGCAACCGCGCGCATGCTTCGCCGAATAAAAACACGAACTACTAATGGAAATTTCCAACGATGCGTCTTCAGACGCATCATTGGAAAGGCCTTCTTTCATTGATTTCTTCAAAACGACAGCTTGCCAGAAAGAATAATTTCACAGGGAGTTTAGTCCCATTACTATCTTTCAACCAAGTATGCTTTTCAACAATAATTACGTCAATTACTTTTTGGATAGCTGCAAATGATGGACTGTATCTTTACATGTAAGTTCTTTCAATTACAACTCGGAAAAGCCAGCTAACGAATTTACCAATATTTGTTCATTGATGTCAGGATTGTTCACACATTAAGATGTTGAAGGGATACGCCATCTTGTATTGTCTTTTTGATGAAAGTATCATCCAGTGAATTTGTTCTCCCTCTGAAACTGCAGAGAGGTACATGTACCGATTCAGATAGAACTTAGACGAAGAACAACAGACAACATGGGACCCAAGAAAGAGACAATTATAACCGTCCTTAAGCCAATCATTCCAGCGTGAAAAGACAGCAGCTGGCGATATGACTCGAAATGACTCCAAATATAACCAGCGAGGAAATCGGCCAATTAAATCTTTGCTTCCTCCGTTCACTGGCGTCCGTCTCCCGCTATCAGCACCCAACATGCACGATACGAGCGCTGACCAAGTGATGTGAACCAGGGAAACTGAAATGAAAGTCGTCCTTGCGATATGCGTGGCCTTGCACAGATATTTGCTGAAACAGGGAACCGGCTAAGCCCATCGTTCAGGTCACAAGATAATGACCTCCCAAATTATGCAAAAATAGGAAGTATTCTCGTGAAAGTCTTAAAAATAGTTGAGATGGCTGCGTGGTGTGTCAGAAATCATGAGTGTCCAATGGACTAGTACATGGCGTGCCACATTTTATCATGTTTAAAGGTTATCATACTTTGAAAGGCTGTTGTTGAAAGGAAATGAGCACTTTACATGAAGCAAAGTTGCACATCATCTGTTCAGGTTAACAAGGAAAAGGATCAAAGCGTTTAAAATAGTTAAAACCTGTCACAGAACTCAACCTCTCTTAATTAAATGCATGGAATTCTCTGAGTGGGTCCCTCATACCACCACAAAAAGTATTTATAATAACGGGTTCTTATACAGTGCTTTTAACTAAGATCAAAGCGCCTTACATTATTATTACCCCTAATCATTGGGCAAATTAAACATTCCATATACCATCTCAGCTCCCTGGGAAGTATACAGCTCGATGCAGCCTGTTAGGCGCAAGGAAGCTAATTCAACCACAATAACCATCTCTGCCCTCACAGGTACCCATTTACTCCTGGGTGGAGAGAAGCAATGAGTGACAAAGTGCCTAGCCCAAGGGCACATGCACCATGACCCCAGGCTGGACTCGAACCCACAACCTCCAGCTTTACCCGCAGACCATGAATCCAATGCCCTTAACCACAAGGCCACAACACTCCACACATTTCAAGAATTTATAACCTACTGATAAATGGTTATCACAAACATTAACCAACCAAATTCATAAAAGGGCAGTTACAGATATCATAAAACAAGTGCCAGTGCACAATTAAGCTCTGGCTAAAAATGCGACGCCGAAAGCACATATGGGACCCCCTACTTTTGGTCAATTTTCATTTTCTCCTTCTGGATACCGTCCAACCACTACACAAAATACCACGTGACTATAACATACTGCACATATCTTGTCTCCATTGACAAAATTTTCATCAACAACTTTATGAATTATTAAGATTAATTTTTAGAGTGCATTTACTGATGTCGGCATTACATTTGCTCAATTTTTGGTCAAATGTTTTTGGTCAATTTTCCGGGGCACAGACATATATAGACGCGCATGCGCATCAATCGAGACAAAGTTCGTTTTCCGGATAGCTTTTGTTAAGAGTGCATTTACTGACGATGGCATGATATTTGCTCAATTTTTGGTAAAATATTTGGGGTCAATTTTCAGGGACACACAGACAGTCATACAGACAGACCGACCGACCACCAAATGACATGCAGCAGCTCCTGCCAGATCTTAAAAAAGCAATAACAATGTCATGTGAAATCAATTAGTAAATTTATCGACGAAGCCTACTTCTTGCAGGACTTGCAACCTCAAACTTGACTTAAAAAAAAAAATTCTTCAAATACCAACCTGTGTCTTGGAAGGCATTGGCCGTCTCGACCAGGTTGTTCCAGTCCAGATGGGCGGCCGAGTCCGGTAGAGGGAACAGCGAGGGGTTGGAGGTTCCGCGATTGTTGTTGGCGTTTAGGTCATCATTGCTTATTCGTGTTTCTGTTGAGAAATGATATGATTTTGGTCTGTTCAATTTGAGATTACAATTTGAGGTTTTTTAAATCTTTGGCTAAAGTTGAGGGCTACGTGTATTTAAGCAGAAGAGAAATAATGGAGCTAGTTCGAGCGAAAACCATTAGTCGACTGGTGGTTGATTTGTGATGTAACTTATGCCTGTACGCTAACAGCAACGTGTGAACGCCTCCTGTTAACCGCTGGTCATAACATCACAAAACTTGATCCTGGTGTCCTGCTGTACCACTATGTACCACTGCGTGTACATAGTACAAATCCCCTGGTGTACGTGCGTCACACACAAGGAGCGGTGCGCGTCAACCAGCTAAATGTCCCACCCGTGGAACGTTGTTGCTAGGCAAAAGTGCGCCCTCTTTTGTTGGTGCACGGAGCCCATTGGTAACAAGCGAAAACACTGTGCCCTGGGCTCCCATTCCAAATAGTCGACTAGAAGTAGTCCAACTATCCTCCAGTCAAGTGAAGTTTAGTTGAACTATGGTCAACTACGGTTTTTGCCTGAACTTGCTCATATTGTTGGAAGACAACTGCAAATCAACATGCAGTAATTGAAATGAGCTACAGTGGAACGCCGCTATATCGTGGGATCCACAGAAAGAGTTCGTAATAATGATCGTTCGGTATAGCGATTTTGAACCGCCGGTACCCTCTTTTGACCAATACTAAAGTCACTGAACTGGCATTTCTCAAGGAGTTGTCACAAAACTTTAGCAACGGGTGGTTTCCCTTTTATTCCTTGGGGAAATAATAGCCATCTATTGCTCTTCAACATTCAAACACGATATAGCCATTGGTGGTTTGATGTTGGGAAATTAAAAGTAGCCTAAACAGTGTTTAATACATGTACAACCGGTGGTGTTAATCTGTTGACTTTTTTCAGCAACGATGTTCGGTACGTTTTGTAACGGTAGCCAAGGATGATGTTCAGTATAGCCGAATGTTCAGTATAGCGGTGTTCGGTATAGCGGCGTTCCACTGTACTGGTATACTAAAGCACCTCCCAATGTTTAAAAATATGTAAGTTGTGACTTGGATGCAAATTTTGCACCAGGGAGTGTACTTTAATTCTGCGTTTTGTCCTGCGCTGGCCGAATCTTATGAATGCTGGATACTAAATGCATGAAAGTTGGATAAAAACGAATGTGCTGTTGGTTTCAAACATGTGATTTAGGACAATTCAGGAAGTTACATGCACTTCGCAACAAAAATCCTTAAAGGGGGGGGGGGGGTGGGGGGGGGGTGGTTAGGGTTAAAGCAGGGGTGTATACATCCCAGAGCAGGAGGAGATATGGAAGGACAGGCAACAGGATCATCCCATCCTCAATTTTTTCATGCAGTAAAAAATGTATCGACGGTACCCCCTTTCACCTTCACCATGCATTTTAAGGGTTTCGTTCTTCAAAACAAACTTCAACATCACCCCTTCTTCAACATGGAATAAAACCACTCAGTTGAAGACACAGTCAACTTGAAGTACATGTGTCTCCTTCCACATGCAGTTGTACATCATGCGGTTTCATTAATGACTTAATCACATTGTACCAGCCAGTCAGAAATCTTCGTTCACGAGAACTACATCAATTGACTGTCCCTCGTACCAATCACTCGTGGGCCCAACGGTCTTTCGCTCATGCTGCCCCGGAACTTTGGAACAATCTCCCACTTGAACTACGCCAAATGAAATCCCTGTCTACATTCAAATCTAACCTCAAAACCCATCTGTTTCTATGTCGTTTTTGTAATTACCGTAATTTTCGGAATATAAGCCGCGCGGCGTATAAGCCGCAGCACGCAAAAATCTGCAAATTAAGATTTGAAGTCGGCGTATAAGCCGCACCGGCGTATAAGCCGCACCGACCGCTGCGGTTTCAATTTTGTAAGGCCTCCAAATTCTAGTCAAAATGCTCTGAACCAGTTCCATTCACACTACAGAAGCTATTAAAAGGACCACAAAAGTTATATCAAATCATTTACAATTGATACTTTTACAAACAAATATGGGAATTGATGAGAAATAAACACCAGGAACTGCTGCCGGCTGCCCCGTCATAGCCCGGCAGCCTGCGCCACGCACGCCGGTGAATGACAACATTTTCCCACAGCACGTGAGAGAGTATGAAACCCACCGTGTGTTGTCTGACTGGAGCGCTACAAATCTTGCTTTGTGGCAACAGATGCTGATTTGTTTTGTCCTAAGAATAAACAGGTCCGTTTTTACCTCAAAACTTATCAAATTGTTGCAATTAGTTGCGAGAAAAATTCAAGTTTCGATCGTCACTTTCTTTGGAAATAGTCAAAACGAAGCGGACATTTCAATAGACGATTCCATTAATTTGTAAGGGGTGATTTAGTCCCTCTTTTGAATTTTACATCGTTTCTTGAATACATTTCAAGAAAACAAAATATATTGTGACGTTGAACAACTGATTATGTAATAAAAAAATGTTTCGAACGCCATAAAAATTGTAGTGGTCTTTTTTCTTTTTTTTTAAACAGCGAAAATATTGGTAATTATTGTTCCCAAGAAAGAACACCCCTTTGTTACCACAAATGGTGTGGTCCGCTGTTGGGAAAGCATGCCTGCATATCGCTGCTGCACTGTACCATTATCACGTACGGCTGGTGGCAAGTGTCGAAGACAGCTTTCATCACCGTACTTTTTTACCGCTCGGTACCTTTACGTGAGACGTGGTTTCGGTTTGTTAATGACTTTCTTAATTTATAATTCATTTCAGCAACACATCTCTTCTTGTACCAGTACATTTAATACACATGTGAATTTCATTTTTATTCTTCAAGGCTCGGCGTATAAGCCGCCCTGTGTATAAGCCGCAGTAAACATTTTCATGGGCAATATCAACGTATAAGCCGCGGCTTATATTCCGAAAATTACGGTAATGTTTTTCTTTGTATGTAGGCGCCATGAGCGTCATGCCTGGCGGATACTGGCGCTTTACCAAGTGTTCATTATTATTATTATTATTATTACATACATGTACACGAACGAAAAAATAGGTAGTAGTTTGGCCTCATGGTTGTAAGACTTTCTGTATCATAAGAAACAGTTTATACAGGGGAAAGAGTAAACTTTGTTGATTATGAATTATAGTCATCAAGAACATTCACCAACAAAATGTACCAAAAAAACCATAACAAATACTATCTACTGGTATAAACTTCAAAATGGTGCTGGAAAAATGCAGATATTTATAAGGACTTGACTTTAACTCTTACAGTGCCAAACTTGTACATGTACGAGGCATATTTGTTAGTACAAAAGCGCCAACCTCGTACATGTACGAGGTAATGTTCGTGATTAAAATCGCCAAACCTCGTACATGTACGAGGTAGAGTAAACATGTTATCAAAAGGGGGCGCTCTCACTCTTTCTAGTGGTACCATTTTCATGCATGTACGACCTGTTTTTTTGTTTTTATTCGAGTTCTTGCGAGAGGGCGCAGCACTGACACTCGTATTTTCTGCAAAAAGTGCGGAATTCCCCTGTGTGCAGGACAGTGTTTCAGGGTGTATCACTATGTATGTGACTACTATTGACTTTCCAAAATACCAAGGATATACCAGAGAGCAACAACAACAAATTTAGTGAGTAAAACTTATTTACTTTTTTTTTTTTACAGAATTTTGAACAATTAACAAAAATGCTCGAAGTTGGGCACTTTAGGGTTAGACTTTTCAAATTTCGCGGGCACTGAAAGAGTTAACAAAGTGCAGCACTGACTATAAATGACAGACTATCTACCGATACCTGAAAAACAATTGTGTTTGCCTTGTTTTCCACAATCTTATAAGAAAGGGCTTTCAGTACATGTACATCTACATGTGTGTGTACACAGACCATGAAGCAGTGATGGTTTGATGTGCGACCTCAAACATCAAATAGAGAGTAAACTAACTGACTAACTTTTACTTCAAGTGCAGATTTAAATGTAAACAGTTAATTTGTTTATCACACTCACAATCATGATGGAAGTGGCATTTGTCAAATGTGACAAGCACAAAATGCAGGTTACAAACAAACCAAGATGCAGTGTTTTTGTTAGAAGTCACTATTTTAATAGTGCGTTGACCAAACATGTAACACAACTACATGATACAAGTATCCTCTCGGAGTGATACCCATTTGCTAAATTTCCCAGGTATGCAGCATTGCTAATGTTGCTACAGCAGCATCATGACATTGCTAATGTTGCTACAGCGACAGTAGCATCATGACATTGCTAATGTTGCTACAGTAGCATCATGACATTGCTTATGTTGCTACAGTAGCATCAAGACATTGCTAATGTTGCTACAGTAGCATCATGACATTGCTAATGCTGCTACAGTAGCATCATGACATTGCTTATGTTGCTACAGTAGCATCAAGACATTGGTAATGTTGCTACCGTAGCATCATGACATTGCTAATGCCGCTACCGTAGCATCATGACTTTCGGCATGACCCTGGCTACATGGCATATGTGGGTTTACAGCATCTGCTAATAAGCAACATACGTTCTAAGTGCCTCTTATATTCAAGTGCAAACAAGCTTGCAAAATTTGTTTCATAAAAACCACAGTTTGCATGCATTTTTATAGCACACGTCAAGCAAGGCAGTGCTTTTGGGTTGAAAATTTGAGTGAACAAACAAAAAACATTCTTCATCTGCAAGGCAAACACACACATTTGTTTTAATAAAAACCTACTTTTTCTGTGTTGGTTAGTAGTCCTTATCGGTTGGTGAGCTGCAAATCGTACAACTTAACAAGAGACAAGGAAAGGCATGCAGACGTTGTTAAAAAAATTTCAACAAAAATTTAGAAGGGAAATTAAATACATGTAGTATCTGAGAAGGAATGGGTATACAACAAAAATAATAACATAAATTCAACAAAATTTAAAAGGGAAATTATATTACATTTAATATCTGGGAAGGAATGGGTATACACCAACAAAATTCCAAGAATAAAAGCCAGGGGTTGAAATTTGGGGGAAACTGAAAAATTCACAGAATAATCGGCAGAGGATTTAAGGGATGCCGAGGTTCCCACAGCAATGGGTCTATGGTATATGTTTGTAGTTGTATATCAAGTTTTATAGGTAAAACACTTTTATGGTACAATCCAATACTGCTCCCAATTGTATCTTGCTGCTGCACAAAAACTAAATTGTAGCAAGACTATTGTGCTATGCATAGCTGAAAATGGGAACCAATCACACTGCAATGTTGTGCAAACCCGACCTGAAACTGAAACCGACCTGACCCGAAACTGACTTCGGTTCGGATCGGGTCGGTTTTTCCATCATTTCAGTCAGGTCAGGTCGGTTTCAGTTTTACGTTGTGATTTTCGGGTCGGGTCGTTGAGCCATGTTGTGAAAACCCTCCAAAAAATACCCGAAACAGTTAAGAAATTCACGTGGTGCAATATTATTGCAGAGTCACTGTGACTGGCATTGTCGAGTGGGGGCGGGTCGGGTCGGGTCTGATTTGGGGAGTTCAGATCGGTTTCGATTCGGATTCGGTTTATGTCTATAATATGACCCGATGCACAACACTATTACACTGTTGGCTGATAACCTGGCTTTCACTTAGAAAACATTTAATAACGGAATTATGAAATCAGCAAAAGATGAGTATATCCTTAGCACCTCTGCTGAAACTGAAATGAGATTGGGGGAAAATGAACAAAATCCACGAAATAATCGGCACAGGGTTTGGGGGCTGTCGAGGGCCCCAAAGCAACATCTATAGATGGTCTACAATACATATTTGCATAAGGACACCCTAAAAATAGCCTTCTCTGTTGTTCTACATTAACCTTTATAGTTAATGACACCATTATGGTAAAATCTCAGGAATTCCATATTTCAAAAGGGATTTTTTTTAAAACATCTATATGGTCTACGATACATATTTGCATTTGCCTAAGTACACCCTAAAAATAGTCTTCTCTGTTGTTCTACATTAGAATGACATCATTATGGTAAAATCTCAGGAATTCCATATTTCCAAAGGGATTTTTTGGGTTAACAAATTCAGAAATCTGGGGAAAAATCCTGACAAATCTCAACCCTGATAAAATGAATGCTGAAAATGAAATTTGAAAATTGTGTAAAAACTGGAATATTTAAAATTTTTTGAAATATACCTTTGTATTGCTGATTATCAGGCACTTGGGCACTCTCTAGCTGAGGCATCTTGGCACTTGTGAACAGTACGTCATTGGCGAGCTCGACGTTGTAACCATCGTGATGGCCCGGGCGGTTGTAGGGTCCGCCTCCTGCCGCGATGCTCTCGTCCGAGTAGGTACGATGCAGGGGGTCCAGCCTGCTGGACTGAGCATGCTCACGGGGTAGGGCGGCCTAAAAAAAAGAGTGACCATGGTATGAACAATTTAATATTTTAACAAGAAAAAACTTTTGTTACGACATTTGCGCTCAACAGTTCACAACTCCAAGATGGCAACAATGCAAAGGATTGTTTTTGACTGAACTGCCAGGTTAGCCACTTCAATGTATTGGAAGTCATTGCGTTTCATACAAAATGCCTGCAAAGTAAGGGAACATTCAGTTGAAAAATTTGATATTTTTTTCGAAATTGTTTTAATTTTTAGATGTTGAATGACTAATCAATATATCCTATACACTGAAAAACAACAGGGAGTCAGGTTGGCGTAGCAGTACTTTCCTCGCCTTCCACTGTGACCCGGGTTCGAATCCCGCCCGGGGCCAATACGTGGATTGGGTTTCCAGTCCCTACTTGATTCTGTGGGTTTTCCCCAGAATATTCTTCTGGGCTTTTCCTCCCACCTCTAAAATTGTAATTTCTTCTCATTGTCTCCTTTCTACAGGTTTCTTCAGGCTTGCGAGCTACAGTGACAAGGGTGCTTTTGAGGAATCTTTGGTTTCATTACCAGAATACTAAATAAATAAATAAATAAATAAAAGAAACAAAGTAATGCTTCAAATGAAGCAGATATTTTAGGTCAATGCTCTCCCAGCTCATGAGTTTTCAATGGCTTTTTCAGGCCTCCAGCTTGCAACTTTGTAGTTGAAACAGAAGAGGAAATTGCCGAGCACACAAACATGTACAATATTTTTTTCAGTTTTCTATGACATACTTATATTAAAAATTATATAACCGACATACAGATCCTTGTCATTTGATTGGTGGAACTCACATCAAGTGTCATTCGTTATTACTCTCATTCACGCCGGGGCTCAAAAAATACTACGTATTGTTCCAAAGAGCCAGCGCTACAGCACTGGGTTCAAATATTTTCGTGAAGGGGTGGTTTGGAAGAGAGAAATACTTTTTTCACCAATTTTGTATTGAAATAAAAGTTCAAATATATCAAATGACAAGGATCTATATGTCAGTTATATAAAACAAATATTGAGTGGCTTTAAACTGTGAAATGGGAGGAATATTATCGCTCGGTAAAATCTGGATTTTTCCAGTTCACTCGGCTTCGCCTCGTGAAATGGAAAAGTCCAGATTTTACCTTGCGGTAATATTCCTCCCATTCCACGCTGATCCACTCAATACATGTATTTGTATAATAAATAAATAAATTGGTGATTCTGGCTTCGTTATGATTAGCTTTTGCTTGATTTCTAACTTGTCACCAAAGCATTCTTTAATATTTTCCATATCGCTTCCAACTTGATGCTCTCTTTTTTTCATGCATGTTGCCATCTAAAAAGTAAGCCATTCCCAGCAAGCAGAAATTTGTCAAATGATTAGTTGCTGGTTAAATTGCCGATAAAAAATAAAAACTGTTTCCATCAAATTCACAAAGGTTCCATAAAACACCAAATGGGATTCGTATTAAATAACTCGATTAACCCTAACCCCTTGAGCACTTTTACTAGAAAGTATCCTGAATCCGCCAAAATCCACCAATTTTGTCATGCCAACAAATGTTGGTATCCTGAGTCCACCAAAATCCACCAGTGAGTCCATCAGAATCCATTAGTGCAGTACATACCGATACCGGTATACCTCGTACACACAAAACATATAGCCATGGAGTTAAACTGTTGAGATCCTGAATCCATCAAAGTCCCCCCAACGGCTCAATAAGGAGGTATCCTGAATCCATCAAAATCCTGCAGTATCGCTAGGCTTACTATCCTGAATCCATCAAAATCCCCCAACTTTTTCAAAATGGCGGTATCCTGAATCCGCCGAAATCCTCCATAACAGGGGTGTGGATTTTGATGGATTCAGGCACGTTAGGGTTAAACCTCTAGATTTTTCACAACCCACCAGGATGTTTTGGAGGATTTTGCAGGTTTTAGGAAGGTACATGTCAAACCTTAAACATGTTACTCTATTACTTAGGCCTTAAACCATTACCTCTTGTATTACAATGTATTACATTGCATTTTACTTGTTGATAAAATCATAAAGAGATGGGGTGTTTGGGGCAGGACGGGGGTTACAAGGCAGGGCGCTTAGGAGCGGTGTCATATGAAATTTGGACTCCTATGCAAGCTGGTCTCTTTCACCTTAATATGTGGACTTAATCTTCACAAGTGACCCGTCACTGTCCTCATTATTGTCATTTAGGCATGTGCAGTACCGCCAATGAGTTTGTATTTCATAGACTCCAATTTTTTTTAGAGCAGCAGTACAGAGACTAATGGGTTAATGCTTCTTGAATGCTCAAGCATGGGCGTCGCCAGGATTTTTTCCGGGGGGGGGGGGGGGGGGCAAAGCACATTTTCCCCAAAAATCCTTGTACTTTCGCTAGCATATTCTCAATTTATTATTTGTTTGAGGGTGGGCAAGGGGAAAAATGCCCACCCCACCCCCACTGACACCCCTGCAGACACCCACTTTGTTAAATGTGTATTGAATTAATAACAAATCTGACTTCACACCTCTTTTTCCTTTCCCCCCCCCCCTTCTTTTTCTCCCCCTTTTTTTTGTTTTTGGGTTTTTTTTGGGGGGGGGGGGGCTCGTGATGTCCATGTGCTCAAGTACCAGGACAAAGAATGTGCCATTGGATTCATGCACTACCAGTTGAATATTGAGGCACAGTGCTCCTAATTATTATCCATAATTATTAATTCCATACCAATACCAAAACAATGAATACATCAGCATGCAAGGGGGCCAAGAAAGCCAATTCATCGACAAAAAAGGTTATTCAACAAACCAACCAAGTAAAGGAGTCAGCCAAAGTCCATACCAACACCAAAATAATGAATAAATCAGCATGCAAAGGCGCCAGGTAAGCCACTTCCTATACAAAAAAGGTTATTCAACAAACCAACCAACTAACTAAACCAGGAGTCAGCCTAACAACTCAGCCCCCCCCCCAAACACCAGCCAACAAGCAAGCAGCCACCATCACCACAAACCATTTTTGCCCCCTTCTTTTTCTTGGTCTATTTACCCATACGACAGGAAAACCCACAAAGGAGTTCCGAAACTGAGTCATGGAGTGGCCGCCTCGGATGGGACCCAGCGAGCCAAAGAAGAGGGGGAGAGTGTGGGAGAAGACGGGCTTAGGAGGCAGCGGAGAAAGGAGGCGAAAGGAGGCCGAGGAGCGAGGAGGAGGAACAGGAGCGAGGCAGGAAGTGAGAGTGCCAAAAGAAGATGATGATGATGGTGATGATGATGATGATGATGGCAGCTGTAACAGGGGTGAGATTGGGAGGAAAATGAAAAATCCACGAAATAATCGGCAGAGGGTTTGGGCAAGCTGAAGGCCCAGAGCCATGTAGGGCTTTTGGTATTTAATTGTACGAGGCTTTGCCTCGCCTGCTATGCGGCCGAAAGGCGGCTTTGTTGCCTGTTGACTGCTTCGCTGTCGAGAGGTGGCTGTCGCCGCTTTGCGGTTGATCAATTTTTGAACAACTGTTCACTACCACACACATACCACACACACACACATACTGGAATTTGTATCCTTGTGGAGACATTTCTTTGTTCTCGTGTAGTGAAGTTTTCGAGTTTGAAAGTGTAGTTTCAAAATGCTCTTATTTTAACCCAAATTAATTTCCTTGGCTGAAATTCGGACTTAATATCCCTTTTCTCAGACTCTTCCATTTGTGACGATCAACATACCTTGGAAATTCCTACTTTTTGAGTAAAGTTCATATATCTATTTCGTGATAACCTTGTGGAGACGTATTCATCTATAGAAATTGCCCTGTGGAGACGTATACAATCTTTTGTTCCCTATTGTGTGCATGTCTCCAGAGGGCACGGTGTATCAGATCATACACACACCCACACTTACACCCTTTCTTCTTTATAGCATAGCAGTGATTTGCCTAAAGGAATCCCTAAAAATACCCATTCCTTTCACAAATTCCAGATTTCAAAGAGATTTTTTTAAGAGTCCTTAAAATTGTGGGAAATAATTGCAGTGACTACTAACGATCCACACCTTGGCTTGTGCTTGCAAGGTACAATGTAGTTGCAACTTAAACCAATGCCATGGGTTTCTACGTTGTACTTTCATTGCAGAAACTATTATCATGGCTGAGCCATATTTTACTTTAACATGCTGAAACTTATCCTAGTCTGAGTTTGTTAGACTAAATATAATGGCACTAAATATCAGTGACACAAATTGACCTGAGCATGATTTGACTTGAATCGTTGCCTTAGAACTACGCAACTCAACTCGGGTTACTGCCTTAGAACTACTCAACTCAACTTGGGTCACTGCATTAGAACTACTCAACTCGGGTCACTGCCTTTGAACTACTCAACTCAACTTGGGTCACTGCATTAGAACTACTCAACTCGGGTCACTGCCTTAGAGCTACTCAACTCAACTTGGGTCACTGCATTAGAACTACTCAACTCGGGTCACTGCCTTAGAGCTACTCAACTTAACTTGGGTCACTGCATTAGAACTACTCAACTCGGGTCACTGCCTTAGAGCTACTCAACTCAACTTGGGTCACTGCATTAGAACTACTCAACTTGGGTCACTGCCTTAGAGCTACTCAACTTAACTTGGGTCACTGCATTAGAACTACTCAACTCGGGTCACTGCCTTAGAGCTACTCAACTTAACTTGGGTCACTACATTAGAACTACTACCAGACTCAACTTGGGCTACTGCCTACAAATGACTCAACTCGACTAAGCGCACTGCCTTGGAATTACTGAACTGGACTGCAGTCACTGCCTTAGAACTAACATACCACAACTCGAGTCACTGCCTTAGAACAGGCATGAATTTCAATGAAAAAACAGGAAACTGGTGCAAAAACAGGAAACAAAAAAGTGAAATCAAGCAAAAAAGCCCCCAAAACAGGCTCAAAATACATAAACAGAAATTTGGGCAACAAAAAACCCCAGGAACTCCTGTTTAAACAAGAAGATTCTCATGCCTGCTTAGAATGACCCGACTCAAATCACAAAGCACTGTATTACTGCCCTACTCACCTGGTGAGCTCCTTTGGCGGACGATGCGGTCACCGACGGTGACCCTGCATCCAGGTTGATGGACTCCGGAGCGATGAGCTTGCGCAGGCTCTCCTGGACCTCGTTGCTAGCTGGGAGGGACTTGGTCCCTGAGTGGCCAGACCGCAGACGAGTGTTCAAAGAGTCGTTGGAATTGCGTACCTCGGTCGTCCTCCTGGATTAGCACAAAATTACGGGTAGAAAACATTTTTGTTAGTTACAAAAAATGTAATAGGTGTTGATTGAGGTAATAGAGTTAAAATCTTTCATTGGAAAAGTTCAAGAACCAAAAATTTGATAATGATCTTAATGTCATTTTAACCCTAACCCTCCAGGGTATGTTTGCTAGAACCCTGCCAAACGTAACAACATGCAACACTTGACTAAGTGACGAGCCTGCCAAATGTAGCAAGATCCATCAGGGGAAAGTCTCAAGGCCACACTGCCTCAGAGTCCGTGGTCACCGCACGCAGCAGGATACAACTGTGGCATTGTTCTATGGGACTTACATGTAGCTCTCATTGTCTCAGAACTGGCCATTCATGCACTGGTGTTGGTAGCTGAATGCATCAAAGTGCTCCAGACTTTTCCACCTGATGCACTGTGTTACGTCTGGCACGGTTAGGGCTAATGCTGATCTTTTCCACATGCTACTACAACTACCTCTAGATATATGTGTGATTGGTTTTGCTATCAATGAAACTATCCAGACAAACTACTGAAGAAATCAGATAAACATTGTACCTTCGTGATACCCTAGGACTGCTGGACTCGCTGATACTACTGCTAGAGGATGCGGAGGGGCCAGCTCTCCTGTGCCCACTAGTCCCATAGTCAGCCTTCCCCTGGCCAGGGATGCCATGCACCGTGCTCCTACGACCCAGCTCTGGGCTGAGGGCGGTCATGGGGTTGCGCGGCAGGCTACCACTGTGGGAAGATCGGACACCCAACTCTCCCCGGTAATCGCCCCGCTGACTGGAGCCACTGGAGTGCGTGGAGTGGGAGTGCAGCGACACATCGCTGAGGTTTGAGCTGCTCGGTGATGGAAGGACCATCGAGATCGGGACAGGGCGCCCCGTTCCCCCGACCCCACCCTTCTGTAGCTGTAGCTCAGCATCTGATAACATCCTATCCGGATACAAGTGCTCAGTTGGGCTGTATCGCTCCGGCTTTCCGTATCCATCCACCGGGTCTTTGAAGTCCCCGGGTAAGGCTGCGGAAGGCACGCTGTAGCCGCTCGGCTCGGCGATGTTGTCGCGGGACCGTGACAGCCGGCTGTCGTGGTAACCGTTCATGTCATCGTGGGTGTCGTACCAATTGTCGTCGACATTGTTTGACGAGAGGGTGTCTCCACTACGTGAATGCTTGACAGAGGCCTTGGGGGAAAAACACAATTTTTACTTAAAAATCTCAAGAGCAGCAATTTTCCATTGGATTATGTTGCGCTGAGCAGTAAACAAAAAGGTCTTTGTTTTAGTTTTCTGTTTGGATCATGTTGGATTCAGCAGGGTCTTCACAAACAGTAGGAACAGTGTTATGGGTAGCCCAGGTTGGACGACATCTTCATTGCATTACGACTGACGTCCAGGGTATAAATTCTACCACCATAGCGAAAAAAATTTTTAACACATTTTATTCATATTTTTACCTGACAGAGGGAGCTGAAATTTTGTTTACATATTCCTTGTGTCCAGAATTGTGCCTGCGCTGGGTTTAGAAAAGGCAAATATGTCCATGGGCGGCGTGTTTACCGAAAACAAACCGCAAGTTCTACGCTTTCGTTGAAAACATTTTCAGTACGAACCCCCTGCGTGAAGACGTACACGCATGTGCCGTTTGCTGCCGCTTGCTGCCATGGCGGCAGCATGCTAGGTGTGCATGCATGCACGCGCGCGCGTAATCTTCACACTGGGAGTTTGTACTGAAAATGTTTTGAACGAAAGCGTGGAATTGCGGTTTATTTTCTTTAAACACGCCGCCTGCAGACATATTTGCCTTTTCTAAATCCAGCGCAGGCACAATTCTGGACACAAGGTATATGTAAGCGAACTTTCAGCTTCCTCCGTCAGGTAAAAATATGCAAAAATGTGTTAGAATTCTTTTCGCTAGGGCAGGAGAGATTCATACCCTGGACTCCAACGGAGTCCAACATGGGCTAGGTTATGGGTAAGTTGAAACCTCGTGTGTAGGAAGTACCTTCTCCAGTATGAATTCTGAGTTTAGTAACTATTTATGCTTGTAATTTTTGTCAGCCGAAGCAAGAAATCTAATGGACAAAAAACAAGGGATACCTCAAGAGACAAAAGCAACTGGATTTTTTTTAATATAGGTTTCAAACGTGGCAGGCTGGCACTGCTGTTTTAGGCAGCCAAATAGCTGTGTGACATAATGACGTCACGCTTCGTATTCATGTGCGTTTTCCTATGGAAGCCAGGTGGGATGAGAACCACTATACTCCCATAGGAAAGCGCCATGAAAATAAAGCATGATGAAACTGTGTCTCAGGTCTAGTGAGATTTTTTTTTTTTTAAATCTTGACTCAAGAACTTACCCCTCTGTAGTGACTGTTGGGAGTTGCAAATGCAGGATTGGTTCTGTTCCGATTGCTTTCTGGGAAGGTCGCTGATTGCGGAGGTCTTGCTTGCCGCTGCCACGGCGAATTGGAAGAATCCGACAACACTGTTGGAGAAAAATGGAGAGTGGCGACGAAAACAATCATCAAAACTGGACGGTCAGCGAAAAGGAAGTTTCAAGCTACATACTTTTCCACTGCATGTTGCTATTTTTTTTTTAATTGCATTGATAGGAAAATTTTTGATTAAAATCAATATTTGAAGATTTGGAACATTAAAATAAACACCGTCTCTCTCTCTCTCTCTTTATCTCTATACCAATATAGGAGATTTCCTGAATGAATATTTCTGATATATTTTGGGTACCTCTGCCTCTTGGATGAGGATCCAGTTTATCTTCCGTCGAGTTCTGTCGCGAGTGTGACCCGGCGGGCACTACCCTGTGTAGCTCCTCTTGTGAGCTTCTTACATTAGCCTGCCGGACCGCAGCCAGTGCCGAGATCTGTTCAAGCTCCTCCTGGGAGCTGCGTAATCTGGCCGGCGTGTCGTGCATGCGGGGTGTAGTGCGCATCTCCCGCGCGCTGCGCCGGTCGTGGGCCATCCGCGAGAAGGCCGTCTCCTTGCCATCCCGTGAGCTGCGGCTGTCCAAGGTGCCGTGGCCTGACGAGGACAGTTGACTCCCGTCCCCTCGCAGGCCGGCGCGATTGGCCTGGTTGACCTCCTTCCAGTAGTTGACCGTAGCCCGGTAGCGATGCTGGCCCTGCCCGCCCCCACCGCGAGACTCGGGCTGGTGGTGGATGCGGCGCTCTAACGTGGCGATGGCGCTGCGGACGGCGTTGCTCGAGGCGGAGTCCGGGTCCTCGCTGGAACGCGACAGATCTGAGGCCGTGCGCGCGTGAGATGATGAAGCAGCAGGGTACCGGGCGTGGTGAAGGATCTGGTATGAGAACCTTGGCCGGCCTTGCCATCTGGGTTGAAAAAACAAGGAAAGTCGTTTAACCCTCACTCTTGATCCTTCCAAAATCCACCAGGACGTTTTTGAGGACTGATGAGGGACCTGCCCTGCCGCTTTATTTCACATGGTCCTGGATGCCACTTTCAGTTGAAGGACAAAGAATATGCTTCTGGTTTCTAACACAGCTATTGCTTTCAGAAGATGCCAGAAGGGTCATAAAAAAAACCTGGGTATAGAGTTAAAATGCTCACACAGTGTATGACATAATACATGACTGGGTGTCAATACAGTTAACTGAGGTATTAGCTCTGATAACATCAGCCAAAATGTAACACAATGTATACTTCCTGTAACAGGTTCTCCGTGGATTTCCGCCAAAAAAGTTTGCAAAGCTATATATTTGTTTGTTTTTCTGGAATTACCTCGTTGGATAGTTATAGGTGCCCTGTAGCTGTGTCCTCCTTTGCCGCTGCTGCAACTACGGTTGAACGGCGTCTTGCCCGTATGCGGGAGGGAAGCGTCGTAGTCAATGGGTGTGCTACCCCTGGGGAAGAGAGACGCAAATAAAACAGTTACAAAATTTGGAAGTATTGGGTACAGGGCCTTTCACACTGTCTATAATCTCCATGTTGAACCCGGGTCTAACACGAGAGATTTGGGAAATTCTTTTCACACTGGCAAGAATCCACCACGGCTACTGCACAGGTAGAATCCAACCCTGGACAGGACCAGGGGTTGAGTGAAAGGCTCTACCCAGGTAGCAAATCTAAAATCTACAGCTGAAGCCAAACAAAAAAATACTTCTGCTTTCGGTTACCAGACCGACCCTATTTTTAGGCTGCGAACCTAAAAATGTTATCCGCAATTCAAAAAAAAAGAAAAAAGTATTGAATAAATACAAATAAAATCTTGTCTATTCTGTCTTCTCAAAATACCTCTCAACAACCCTTTTGCATAAAAAAAAATGCTTGTATTTATTTGTTTTCTTACTTACATTCGCTATTTTTTCTAAAGAAACCTCAGTTATTTTTACAAATTTGCTTCGCGATATAACTACTTCGCAATTTGATGACTATAATCACGTGCGTAAACCTACATGTAGCTCAATGCAGCGACAACTGGTTCCTACCGCGCCGCGCAGGGGCCATTTAGAAGACATGATGAAAATGTGGTAACCAGTCTGTGCATGGCTATGCGATCGATAGCGCTAGCATGGCTATGCATTGTAGGCCGGTGCACTGTCAACTGGTCAGATTTGACATCGTAAAAATGCGAAGAAAATGCCGATGGAGAAAGAAATTTTTTGCATGTTAATTCACAGAATTGATCTAGCTTGTCTGTGTATGTATTTTGTGTGTTCAAGAGTTCATTTTGAGATGGCACTACTCGAGTGGTCGGTAAAGGCATATAATCGGAAGCAGAAGTAATTTTTTTTCAGCCTGACCCGTGTACAAACCGCTGTAAGTGTGAACGGCATGCCTTGCCTACCCATGTTTGATGTGACCCGGGCCTGACCCGTGTACAAACCCAGGTTTGATGTGACTGCAGACCCATGTAGAACACTACACAGGTAGGTGAGATGATAGTGTGAAAGGGCCTAATGAGTACACGTTTCAAAAGTATAGGTATATTCAGTGAGACTACTTTGACATACATACTAGTAATATAATAGTCCATTTTGTTGGGCCACAAACGATTCGATTTTTACGAGTTGGGGGAGATCTTTCTAAATCTACCAGTAGCTTTGAGACTTTTTTTAGGGAAGGATTGTAGTATGCAAAGCCCAGTCACTTTTACTCGACATAGTGCTCTATGCTCTGTAAAACTATCGATTTCCTACTATACTTATGCACGTTTTGGATTCAAAAGAGAGAGGTTTTCCCTGTTCTCTAAGAATTTAGGAAGGATAGCAAAATCCTTGGGAGGAAAGGCTTAAACATTGGCTCCTGGGCATAAAATGATCAATTTATTGTCACATTTACCTCCTTGGGCTGCCGTCTTCATGGGGCGGCACGACCAGAACTTTGACCGTTTGTGACGTCCTGAGCAGATCAATCATCTCATCGTGGTTTTGTGTGCAGACAGCGATCTCACAGATCTGTATGATCAGAATCAAAATCAAATTTAGAATTCATAATTACATAATGTGTTTGGGAGGAGACAGTGATTTGACAGATACACCTGATCAAATTCAAAATCAAGATTAAAATTATTACTTCATAATGTGTTTGAGACCAGACAGTGATCTAACAGATACAGATGATCAGATCAAAATTATAATCAGAATTTGAATTTGATGTAAACAAAATTTTCCAGATTTAGGTGATCTGGATCAAAATCAAAATCACATTCTTTATTCTATAGCACACGTAAATTCAATATTGGGGTTTTGCATTTCTTACGTCGGTGAAGGGCAAACTCCATTATTGAATTTACATGAAACCAACAAAATTTCCATCTTACGAAAAGATCATTATTGGAATATAACTGGGTTTTTTTCCCTGAATTCGAATAAACAGTGTTCTTTATACAACTCCAGTGACTAATCAGGAATCAAGATCAAAATCAATCCTTCCTCAGACTAAAAATTAAAAAACAGAGAATCAAAATCAAAAGTCACAATCAATTTTTCATGCATATGTGTGTAGCATGGCAGCTGCAGATGGTATTTCATACCTCGACGAGTCTGGCCCCCTTTCTTAACCCAGCTTGCCACGCCCCACCCATAGGGGTCGACCTCCACCACTATGCCTAGCTTGGTAGTGCACGTGGAATCCAAGCTGGCCTAGACCGTTGCGAAGCAAGGTGATCTCCTGGGTCTGTGGGGAGAGATAAATGAAAGATTTGTGGTTGACGTACGGGAAGTAAACCATCCAGGAATTTTATATCATCACTCACGGGTCAATAAAATGGACAATACCAAATGGAATGCCTTTGTGTAATCACAGTTCATGTGAATTGTCAGTTCCTGTTTGGAAGGGGTCTTACGTGTACGGTATATACTGCAAAAAAAAAATCCCATAGACACTAGTGCTAAATGCGCATACTTCAAAATTACTTCAAAAGGTATTCAAGCGGCACAGAAAAATGATGATCAATGTGTATTCTCACCCAAAGAAGACAACCGCTATTTCCCCAAAGTGGAAAGTAGCCATTTTGAAAAACGATCCCTCCACAACATGGCAAAATAGCACCACTTTCGAGACCAATAACATCCAAAATGCTCAGAATTGTCAATTATGGAGTATGATGGACTCGAACCCACGACTTCCTGCTTTCTAGTGCAGATGTCTTACCACTCGACCATCAAGCTCGGTTGGCTGGTTCGAATCTGATGTTCGAACCAGCTAACTTTCACTCGGGAGGTAACACACTGAGTATACAGTGTTTATACGTTGGTGAAGGGCAAAGCCTAATTTGATTTACATCACCCCGACGCAAAATTCCATATTATGAATCAAAAAGTATAATTTATGTCCTGAAACATTGGGATCCAGTTGGACCAGGCGATGTTAGTCTGGTTTCAACCCACCTTGACTCCCGTGGTGACGGCCTCCAGTCTTTTCACCATTCCAGGAATCTCATCCAGTTCCTCGTCAGGTATGCGTATCCGTACGCAGTTCCCTTCGTTGAAGTAAACCCTCAAACTAGAAACAAAACAAAAAAAGGAGAGAAAAATTGTGAAACTATGCGCTGAAAAGCAGAGTATAGTTAAGTTTATAACACCTCACCAACAGATTCTGTGTCTTGATTGGCCGAGAGCGAGTCACATGGTACTTTCTACTTTTGCAATCTTTCAGTGCATGGCCAAAAGTACTATACCCGTAGCAACCAAAGTACTATACCATTAGCAACCAAAGTACTATAGGCCTACCCATGGAGCAGTATTTGTGTGCAAATGCACGCTTGTGTTCGTGTTTAGCGTTGCGCGTATGTTTCTAAGACAGCGCGCCACAGAGTTGGGTTAAAACATTTCATGAAGGGGTTGTTTGGAAGAGAGAAATACATTTCCCACCAATTTTGTACTGAAATTGAAGTATATTTTACCTGTGTTAAGATTTAAATAACTTAAAATATTAAAACAAAGCA